CCCCAAAAAAAAGCCAAAAGTCCATCCATCCATCATTGAATGGTCATTCGCAATAAACTGGATTGTTGACGTCAACAGAGATAAACACATACCATAATCAACGGTTCTGTCGAAATCTTGTTCTTATTCTTGAGAAGCAAGCGATCACTCCCGTTGTTAGAGAATCCGTTTCCATGTCCATCTATTACATCATCTTTTCGCACTCGTCGTTGTCCTTCCGTCCGCTGCGTGCCGTCATCGCCGTTCCTTCTGTTCGTCGATTCCCTCTCTGTCTTCTTCCCCTTTTCGTTGTCATTCCCTCCTCCTCTGCTTCTGCTTCTGCTTCGCCCCATGGTCGCCATAGCCGGAAGCTGTACAGCCTCGATCTCCCTCTCATGTGCGCGCGTCTCCTTCCTCATCTCTCTCTTCTTTTTCCCCTCCTCCCCCTCCTCCTCCTCCTCCCCGTCCTCTTTCTCCTCTTTCTCCTCCGCCTGCTGTCGAGCAATTGCAGCGTTCTCTTGCAAAAGACAATCACCATCTCTCTCTCTCTCCCATTCTCCATCACAGTGACTCTTCTTGGTGCTCAGCATCGCGTCAGCGATGGCGGCAGCAGTCTCGCTCACTCCTCTTGTTGCTTTCGAAAAGGCTGAACCATTGAATCTGGTCGAAGATCGAGCACTCAAGCTGCTGCTCGCAGTTTGTCTTTCAGTCGAACCATCACTACGAGAAACCAAGTACAGACTGCTCTTTCCCCCCTTTTCCCCCTCCTCCCCTCCTCGCTGCTTCCCCTCTTCCTCTTCGTCTTTCCTCTTCACCTCCTCCTCCCCCTCTTCCTCCTCCTCCTCCTCCTCCTCCTCCTCCTCCTTCTCCTCTTCCCTCTCACGCCTGTGACCGGCAAACGAGCCTTGTTCAGAATTGAACTCTTCTGACGCGGCACAGCGTAGTCGCATAAACGACAACGGGTCGCCATGTGGCAAGCCATCCCGGTCGCCACGTGTCGGGCTGTAACGAGAAGCGATCGTCGAAGGACGAACAAACGAACTTCTGGATAACGGCCTGGATCGCGACATGGCCAGCACGTGGCTATAAATAGAACGTGGCTGACGTCTCCACGTGGCGGACGGCATAACGCTGGGATGTGATCGCGCCATGGCCGGCACGTGGCTATTAATAGAACATGGCTGACGTGTCCACGTGGAGGACGGTATAACGCTGGGACGAACTGACAGGTCGGCTGAAACGGGTGACAAGCGCCATGGCCACGTGGTCGTGATCGCCGCTACCGATCCGACCACGAGTTGCCACGTGGCACTCATGCTGTATAGCTGACCTCTCACAGCCTCCAAACCACGTGTTGCCACGTGGCGCCAGTGTATTGTCAACTTCTTGCCACCGATCCACGTGCTGCCACGTGGCGGTCAGTAGCCGAATTACAAGGAATTGTCACGTGGCTGGCAAAAACACGATCCAGCGTGTCGACACGTGGCACTCGGCACTTATCGCTGACCTCTCACCGCCTCGAAAGGGCGTGTTGCCACGTGGCGCCACTTTATCCAACTGCTTGCCACCGATCTAGGCTTTGCCACGTGACGGTCAATCGTCACGTGGCAAATATAACAACAACAACAAGCGCGTCGCCACGTGGCACTCAGCTGTGGATTCAATGCTCTCACAGCCTCGAAACAACGTGTCGCCACGTGGCCCCAGTTTACTCAACTTGTTGCCACGGATCCACTTGTTGCCACGTGGCGCTAAGCAGCCGGAATCCAAACTCGTTGGCGCGCAGCACCCCAACGTGATGCCACGTCCATGCACTCTTTACTCAGATTGCTGCGTGCTGCCACGTGGCAACGAGTTATTCCAGCGGGTTGCCACGTCATGCAGCTCGACTCGGACTGCCACGTGGAGCTCTCTCAGTGGTCGAATCCGAAAGAGTCCCCAGATGTCCATCCAATTCTCCCCAGAAAGGATACTCAGAACAATCCGTCTACCTAGGGGGGAGGGGGAGGAGGAACTCACACTAATCCTTCCAACAGCAAGATGAGACGCACTCAAGCAACACAAGGAAAGAATTGAATTTCTAATTTTGTTTTTTTTTATTTTTTTTTTCCGTCGGTTGTTGAGCTGCTCAGAACAGGAAAACCACTGTCCTTCACGATGGACATCCTTTAGCGCGTTGGCACATCGATGCACTCTTTACTCAGATTGCTGCATGTTGCCACGTGTCAATCAGTTATTCCAGCGCGTTGCCACGTTGGCACGTCCATGCACTCTTTACTCAGATTGCTGCATGTTGCCACGTGTCAATCAGTTATTCCAGCGCGTTGCCACGTCATGCAGCTCGACTCAGACTGCCACGTGGAACTCAGTCGGTTGTTGAGCTGATCAGAACAGATCCTGGCCGAGTACAGTCTTGAGGGACATCCTAGGACATCCTGGGACAGCCTGGGACATCCTTCAAAACTGGAACGATACAGAGAACTTGGACAAGATTAGCGTGGGCGCGTACAGTCGTGAGGGACGTCCTTTGAAATTGGAACGATACGCAGAACTCAGACAAGATTAGCACGAGAGGATGACTCATGCGGATTCACGGATGACTCATGAATCACGCAAGAAATTGAGAATTGAGAAAAGCAGTAGCGAACCGAATGATGTCAACGAACGAGAGGAGTACAGAGGGGACCACGAATCAAAAAAAGACAAATGGAAAGAAAAGAGAAAAAGAGAGAGAGAGAGAGAGAGAGAGAGAGAGAGAGAGAGAGAGAGGCGATCACGGACGACCGCCATAGCCAGGGGAAAGAGGCTATCTTTCTTCAGACCAGTTTCAAGTCTCGAGTCCAGGATTTGCCGGGACGGGACCAGAGAATGAATTTAACATATATTCCCGTCCAAATTCTTGCGCCTTGATTCCACTCCCCTCCTCTGCTAATCTCTCCGCCAAAGACTCGCTTCATTCTTCCAGCCTCCAGCCACCTACTATAGTGA